ATGAGCACCAAGCCTGCTATAATCATACCTAAGAGCGGAGTCCGTCTGTTGCCGTCATGTTCATTAAGCCAAGTCTCATGAGAGACCATTGGGAAAACAAGACTCATTAAAGGCTCGCAGTACCACCAATACTGTGGCCTTCAGCAAAAAGTGTGGCGAAAGCCGTTGTCGCATAACCACTGTTCCCTGCTAACGCTTCTGGGCGTTATTGCATTTCTATGCTGGCACCGAAGTCATCGACAATCGATTCTTCTTTGCTTTCGTCTTCAATGCGGCCGATTTCTTGGCTTCAGCCTCGTCATTCTGCTGAGAAAAGTCTTTCCATCTCCTCCAGCCATCAAAATCAATGAGTGCTTGCATGCAACCCCATTCCATGACCTTCCTCTCTAGCCAAACGAAGTTCACGGGCTATAGTTATCACGTTAGTATGGTGGACTAGTAGGCATTGAAGTGTAGATGAGTACTAACCTTCGTAAGGAAATCGTTACAGCCAGCCGCCAAGGCCTCGTGCCTGTCGCTTTGGAGGGAGCTGGCAGTAAGGGCCACGATAATCACCGGACTTTTGAAGAGCTCCATATTGGTCAACTTGTCCTTCTCCTCGGGCTCGCCATTCGGGGCTTCAGGTGCGCTACCTGCCGACGAAGAGAAGACACCAATCGAGTTGACTCTCTCCAATCTGCGGATCTCCCGAGTGGCTTCCAATCCGCTCATGATGGGCAGTTGAATGTCCATCAGGACAAGATGGAAACCTCCGGTCCTCCACATGGTGACGGCATCTCGGCCATTGACCGCCGTTTTCCACCTAACCTTCAGACGCTTGACGAAAGCCTCAAGCAGCTTGAGGTTGATCGGGTTGTCCTCTACGATCAACACGTTGATAGGCGGTACACCGCCATTCAATATGCCAGCGGGCAGAGTTGGATGATCTACCGTTTTCTTCTTTTTAGGCCGAGAACTTGCTGGCCTAGGAGAAGCAATCCTGGGCGGGGGAGTCGCAACTCTCGCAGGCTGTACTTCCGGAGCGGGCGGTGTCGGAAGCGGTGGAGCAGCCGGTTGGGCGTTGGATTGCTCCGAAGTGTTCGACTGCGTCCGAGAAGGCGGTAGGCGTGGGTGGAATGAGTGGGTGGGATGTGCGGCAGCAGCAGCTGCGGCCGCCATGGATTGTGCATTGACTTGGTTCAGTATCGTAGGTGAGGAGGTATGGGTTCTCCCAAGACGAGGGCGTTCTGGGCGTTCCCTGTAAGCACGAGACCTCGTGCCTCCCGGCGAGGGTATTGGCGGTACTTGGCCTGTACCGAGAATTGCGATCGAGTGTTGAGTATGCGCAGTGAGGGCATGCGCTGGATGAACTGGATGGGCAGGATGCGCGGGATGTGTTGCAGGGACGGTGACAGGAGCTACAACCGGCACTGGTGAATTTGGTGACGGCAGAGCAGCCGCATTTGCAACCGGAGGGAAATATCCCTCGCCAGCTTCGGATGGCCGGCCTTCGTCGTTGTAGTAAATTGTTGTAGCATGAGTTGGGGCGCGCGGTGATGGCCTCGGTGTGCGCCGGGCTGGGATATCAATCACCAGAGCCTCTTCGACATTCTGACCACCAGGGAAGTATGCATCGAGTGTACGGCCCACGGGCTCCTCGGGGCCAAGCATACGATCTTGTCTCTGCTCTCGCGGGCATATCCGTAGTGTGAGATCGGGGGAATCGAAATGCCTGCCCAACGAGTTGGCGTACTTTCGTAAAATCATGTCGCGCACGTCATCGACCAGGTCGTCCTCGTTGACAGTGATGAGTGTGGCAGAAGCACCGGGGCGCCTAACCCAGACCTTGCGGGTGACCATGTTTGCGATGTTGGGGAGCAAAGAATCGGCGCTGGCTGGCCTAGCTTCGTTTTCGACACGTCCTTCGAGCAGATTTCGAATCAGAGTGGTTTGACGATTAGGTATAAGACTTTGTCGTCGGGGAGGCGCCTCTGGGCGGGAGGACAAGGGCGAACTCGGTAGGATGGCGGTTGCGAGAGGCGTCGGGGTGCCGAGGGCATGGCTGAGGGGATCGTGTTGATCGTCGTTGAGGTCCTCGGCAGAGACCGCCTGAAGGGTAACGGTGGGAGCTGCGCCAAATTTTGGCGGTAGTGGCTGGTGCGAGTGATCCGACTGCGATAGATGAAGTCTCTGTTTTGGGTCGTCAAATCCGGGTGGGGTTTGGTCCTCGTGGATGCTTGGGAGGTTGTTGAGGGTAGTGGGAGCTGCGGTAGGAGGAGTGGTTGTGGTTGCGGTTGTGGTTGTTGCGGCTGGGCGTAGATCGTTGCTGGCAGTCAGTTCGCTAGCTAAGCGTCCTTGAGACGCGGCGGGCGGCATTGGGGCCAGCGAGTCACGGTCGAGGTCGAGGTCGGGGTGTGGCTTGTGAGCGTCCTGATCGTCCCCAGTCCCGGTCGAGTTGTCTCTGACCTTGTTGCTGGCGCTGGCGCTGGCGCTGGCGCTGCTTGCGGGTCTTTGATCGTTGTTGGTACCCGTAGTAGCTGTGACTATGGGATTCTCTTCCCTTACTAAAACCTCGTCGCTGCTGAGAGGTGCATCATGAAAGTTATTTTCTTCATCACCATGACTGTCGTGATTGATTTGGGGCTCGTGGCGTTGTTTTTGTTGGTGGTCCAATAGATGGGACTTGCTTGAGGACGACGACTGTGGCGGGAGCTGCCCTTCCTCACTGTCGGCTTCACCCTCTGCAGCCCCAGCAGCGGAACCCTCAGCCGTAATTGCCTTCAATTTCGGCTGCAGCAAGTGGTCGCCATGGCTGCTGCCGGGGGGTTGTAGTGTGGTGGACTGTGGCTGTGTCTGAAGGTGATGGTGTGGCTCGTGTGGAGTCGGCGAGCGCGAGGGCAAGGGCGAGATTGGCGTGTGAGGCGGGTGCTGGGAGCTTGCTCTGGACCTTGGAGCCGAAGCGGATGCAACGGCCGAGGATTGCCGTGTGAGACTCGTCCCATCAGTTGCCTGGGAGTTGTGAGCATCGCCGGTGCTCTTGTTGGAAGCTAGAGATGGGGCAGCCGAATTCCTCCGTGAGAACTTTGCCCGGAGACGAGCTCTGATATCCCCAGCAGTACCCATGGGTATGGGAGGGTCACATTCAGCGTGCGAATGGGAGCGAGGCTTTTTTTTCTTCCTTTGGGACGGGACGGTACGGTGTACGACGGTACGTTGCTCAAATGAAATTCGGTGTGGTATCGTGTCTTGCGCGTCTTGTCGCGTGGTCGCCGCCGTTGCCGTGGACGTGATGGCAGCCGTGTGCCGATGGACTTTTGTTCCGGCGGGTCGTCGTTTCCTTGGATGATGGATCAAGTGGACTGAGGTTGAGACACGCCGAGAGGAGGAGGAACGGATGGGACGGGTGGCATGAGAGGTGGGTGAATAAGTGGTATCAGGTGCCTCGTACTGTAGCCTCTCTGACTGCGGCGAAGAAGAGGAAGAGGATGAGGGGGGAAGGGCGATTCTTCCAACGTAGATGGACACGGTGAAATACGGTATGATACGGTGAGGTGAGTTGACAAAAGTGGAATGTAAGTGTGGTAAGTACAGAGTATTAAAGGGGGATGACGGGCACCTGGGGAATTGAGAGGCAAGACAAGACAAGAAAGAAGATGTGATAAATGAGTGAGTGAGATGGGCCTAGGATATCCCAAAAAGGAAGACCGGGCAAAATCTCAGAATGAAAAGACAGAGAGGAATGAGAGGGTAATGGGGTTGAAAACTTGAGATACCCAACTCAGTACTCAGAGACAAGAGGCAGAGACTAAACGGGAAAAAGAAAGACGATGCAACAGAAAACAAGTAGAAATGGTGCAAGATGCCTAGCTTTGCCGTCCACTAAGTCAATGCGAATGGATGTGAACCACCAGATCAAGTCCAGTCAAGCACCAGTGGGCTGGCTGGCTGTCATATCCCGGGGTCGCGCTGGGTTGTAACTTGTAGAGGGAGACTCGAGAGACAGAGACACAAAATCACAGACAACACAGAACATCCAGATATGCCTTGACAGCCCAATATTACCATTCATTCGTAGAGAGAAAAAGGGCAAACGACGCGTGGGATGGGATACCCATGCGGCTACCACGCCTTGCAAAGTGCAAGCCCACATGAATGGTCCATGGATCCGTAGACCATCCGTAAAAAGGCACCTAACCGGCTTCAATGTCCGGCTCAAATCCTGCTTTTTCCCTCCTTTGTATCTCATTTCCCGTTAACAGCCAACGTTTTTCTCGCCTTCCCCCCTATTAATTGGCCGTATTGCTCTCTGCGCCGGGCCACGTCGATGTGCCTCCGCCCCACCCCCAATAAACAGCCAATTGGCCTGCTTTGAGCAGCCCGACCCTCCCGTCCAAGGTACCTTACTCAAGTGCTCCATACCTCAGTATTGTCACTTATGGAGGATATGGACATCGAAAAAAGCGGACAATTCCACTAAACGTCCTATTAATTCCTTGTGCAAGGACAAGAGCCTGAGGATATCCTCGTTCCCCAGCCACAAACTAAGCTCCCCAGTACCGTGCCCTTCCATCGAGATCTTGCACCCGCCTGGCCCGAAACCAAGGATATATCGGCTGGTAGGCAAAACGTCGATCTTCGACAAGGTGTTCTGCAAGTCGTGGATCCAGTGCTTTCGTGGGGTTCTGCAAGTTATCAAATCGTACGAGTGCATTTTGTCCTGCAGTCATATTATCCGAAAAGATGTACATCTGGATTTGCGTTCGCACCCAGGAGGGACTTCCTTACTTGAGGTACACAAGTACCCTGTCCCTACCTTTGTCGCGACCCACATTTTAAACAGTGACATCTTTCATTGCTGAAGGTAATTGTAACCAGACACGAACATCTACAGTCTCGTCTAATCCACTTTGGTGCCTTCATCTACGGAACTCAACTAAAGCCAGGTTTCCTCATATCGTATCTGTGATATTATACGCCTACCATTTATACTTGATTCCGAAAGCACCTGGCCTGAAGTGAAGATGCCCTCCTTCACAGAGCCTGAGCATCAGTCGCAAAGTCTGCCCTTCGAGAAGCCGACGCCACGTCCACCCAGGTCGCCAACAGTAGCCAAGAATATCCGGTCTCGAAACCGTCGTCGAGAGTATCTAGAGAGACATCCAAAGTACTTTTCTGACGCTGAGCACGAGCTGGCAGGTCCGTCTCTCCGCATACCCTTTCTTCCTTTTTTCTTGAGCGGTCTTGGTGACTTGGGCATGCGGGATTTGGTTTCACTTCACTATCAACTTAGCTAATGTTCTTTCCAGACCCCCTACTATATGACAGCTTGGTTCGCAAATTCCAGACACCAGCCGAGCGTGAGGTCGAAGGCAAGGCCAAGGGCTACTCTGGAGTTCTAGAGAGCTCCCTGCTCAGGGGCGAGGCTCGTCTTGCCGACTTGAAATCATCAACTGATGACACTACAACGTCGGAGCCCGCGAGAGATTTCACAACTGAAGTCGATCTTTCCAAAACAAAGACAAAGGAAGAGGGCCTTCAGAGATGGCATGAGTTTCTCACGGAACGTTTTGTCCGAGGCCACGACGAGGATTTCGATTACAGTCTGATCGACGACAACGAAGACTACGACGTCATGGAGAGACGTGATGCCGAGGAAGCCTGGTTCGATGAAGAGGATCCCGAGTGGGCCAGCGATGCAGACGAGGGAGCCCAAACCACACGGGGCCAAACCGGCATTCAGGACTTCTGAACAGCTGCTGCGCGGCTGGTTGAGCCGAACCAGCACTGTCGGCTGTCTGCGAATCAAAGAAAGGACCAAGAGAAGACTGGAACACATGATGGCGAGCCAAAGCGCAGTCATCATTGGCGGTTCTGCATTCAAGCTCCCTTACGAGCCGCACCACTGCCACTGCGCTTCTGAAACTTAGGCTATATCGCCGTGCCTTGATGAATGCTAAGGTGCGGCTGACCCTTATTTTCAGCAGTCGGGCGTGAGAGGGAGAACAATATCGATGATCAAGCTTTGGACCCAAAGAGAACGCACCTTCGTGTCCTCACTTTAGGCTTCCAGACCTTTCCATCCCACGATGCTAAGCAACCCGTTCGGCCTCCACGAACCTTGCTGACGCCGTGGAGGAAGGTCCATAGGCGAGCGGACCGCAACACTGCCTAATTACAAGTTCATTGAGCCACCTTTGGCTCAGTGGTGCAAGCGACGGCGTATCGTAGCCATGGAGTCACAAAGACTACCAATAAGCTACCGACGGGGTTCGAATCCTACGCTGCCTTGTGATTTCGGCGGTAAAGCTTGGGTAGCGCGGGGTCTCATCCTGAAAGGGGCGAGATTGAGCGTCCAACATTATTTTCTTGCATTTTTTGGTATCTATTTACTATCCGAATCAAGTCTCAATCGAAATCAAAATATGATAGAAATTATGTTAGACGCTCAAAAGAAGTGCCTTACGCCGTCAATATGACTTCACCAGGACCAGCATGGCACACAAGAGATTGGTTTTGCATCTCCCAAGAAAGTCCACGGTAGGCCCACCGCAGCATCATGCACCTGTATTGGATTGCAACTGTCACCAGTGTCCAGGTTCAGTCCTCCAACTCGTGGTGCGGGTGGGGGGTGTGCCCAGGATGGGGTAAACCGGGAAAATGCGCTGGGTAAATTCAAAGGCCGCTGGCTAGTCGTCCCGTGTTCCACTCTACCGGGCCAACATCACCACTTTCACATTCATCCAGACGCCTGAACCCTTTTGACGGTGGAGAATACTCGAGGGCAGCTATTTGGCATATAAATGATCACCTCCCAAGGCTTTTCTTTTGCGCCCCATCGGTCTCTGCAGAATATCCTTGATCGTCTTTGTCTTATTGCAAGTAGGCAATCTGCAACATCGTCCTATCCTATTCTTCAAGACACCCAAAGTGGCATGCTTGGTTTCCCCATTTGACCCCAATTTCACCAACAACCACCTTCAACCCCCGCATTCTCTCCCCCGCACTCCCACTTTCTCCCCTCCCCCATCCCACATACATTCACAATGGCGCCCCTCATCAACCACCTCTACACGGCCGACCCTTCAGCCCACGTCTTCAATGGCAAAGTCTACATCTACCCATCTCACGACCGCGAGACCGACATCAAGTTCAACGATAATGGAGACCAATATGACATGGCCGACTACCACGTCTTCAGCACATCATCGCTGGATCCCCTCGAGCCCGTCGTCGACCACGGCGTCGTTCTGAAGACCGAAGACGTACCCTGGGTCTCGAAGCAGCTCTGGGCTCCCGACGCCGCCTACAAGGACGGCAAATACTACCTCTACTTCCCCGCCCGCGACAAGCAGGACGTCTTCCGCATCGGCGTCGCCGTCTCGGATAAGCCCGAGGGCCCCTTCACCCCGGACCCGGAACCCATCAAGGGCAGCTACAGCATTGACCCGGCCAGCTTCGTCGACGACGACGGCCAGGGCTACCTCTACTTTGGTGGTCTCTGGGGCGGCCAGCTGCAGTGCTACCAAAAAGGCCACGAAGTGTTCGAGAAGCAGTGGCTCGGCGCCCAGGAGCCCAGCGGCGAGGGCGTCTACGCGCTCGGCCCGCGCGTGGCCAAGCTGACGGGCGACATGCACCAGTTCGACGGCGAGGTCCAAGAGATTCAGATCCTCGCGCCCGAGACGGGGAAGCCCATCCTCGCCGACGACCACGACCGCCGCTTCTTCGAGGCCGCGTGGCTGCACAAGAGGGACGGGCTGTACTACTTTTCCTACTCGACCGGCGACACGCACTACCTCTGCTACGCCACCAGCGAGAGCCCTCTGGGCCCTTTTACGTACGGGGGACGGATCCTCGAGCCCGTGCTGGGGTGGACGACGCACCACTCCATTGTCGAGTTCAAGGGCCAGTGGTGGCTCTTCCACCACGACTGCGAGCTGAGCAAGGGCGTGGATCACCTGCGGTCTGTTAAGGTCAAGGAGATCTTTTATGACAAGGACGGCAAGATTGTGACGGAAAAGCCGTAGGGGCACGGGCGATGACCGAACTGAAGAACATTCAGAAGAATAAGTAAATAAATCTTGCGTCACTTTGTATCAATAATAAATTTTGGGATACACCTCTGTATTCACAGATGTTCTGAGTTGGTTTCATCTATATCCTCATCATCTCTTCACAACCTAGACTCTTTCCCTCGACTTCCTTTCCCAGATTCTTCCGTCCCAAACTTTGCATGTCTTCTTTACATGACCAGGCTAAAATGGTGACTCAACATTTGAAGAAATTGTATAATTATCTCACACTCGGGGATGTATGGGGTATATAAGGGTGAATCGGACCATATGTCCGCGACAAAGGAAAATAAAAAGGGGCGTGTTGTGTTCATGTTTGTGTGATTTTCCTCTCGCCCGTAGAAAAGAAATCCCCCCTCATACTGCTTCTCAACTTTCAACAACTCCGAACCGCAGCTTATTCAACGCCTCTTCATACTTGGCCGGGCTGTGGTCAATCAACATGCTCGTCCCGAACCGCACCTCTCTGAAGCGCGACTCGACGTCCCTAACGTACTTGAGCACGATCCGCTGCGCAGGCCGGCCGATAGACTCCTCGTCAGAAACCAGAAAAGCGTCGCGCCTCAGCACACGCTGACTCTCGACGATGAACACCTCGCCGGGAGGCAGCAGCTTCAGGCTCATCATGCTGGAGCGAAGCGTCGTCAGCGCCGATATGCTCCATTTATCCTCGTCGGCGCCGGCGGCCAGGGAGGAGGAGGAGCGAGAGCCGCTGTTGGTGTACCACTTCTCCGCCAGTCCGGACTGGAAAGCCTGCCATATCCGCTGCTTGACCTCGACTTTTGCCTCGTGGTTGTCGCTCTTGAAGGCGAGGGCGACGGCCTGGAAGTCGTGCAGGACGCCGAGGGAGAGGAAGGGGACGAGGTCGCAGCCGTGGACGACGCTGGTGACGAGACCGCGCGTGGCTTTGCGGAGGGCGGGGGACATTGTCCCGGGAGGGCCATAGGCGTAGACATGAATGGGACGGCCCGAGGGGAGGCAGACGTGCGTAGTGTCGGCGTCGAGGAGGCGTCCGTCGCCGAGGAGCCGGCGGTGCGGATCCGAGGTCGTGACGAAGCCCGTGCCCGACGGTGAGGGCTCAGCGAGCATGGTACCCAGCAGCGCCGTGACGCCGCCGCCGAGCGAGTGGCCGCACAGGACGAGGCCGTAGTCGCTAAACTCGTCGAGGGCCTCCTTGAGGGTGTAGAGGACGCGCCCGTCGCCGCCGTAGAGGAGGCGGCGGGCGGAGGCGTGGATGCCCTTGTGAACCTTGTAGGACTTGCCGCGCCAGTAGAGGTTGTCGTAGTCGCAGGCCATGTCAGCCAGGACGTCCTCGAAGCCGAGGGTGCCGCGGCACGCGAGGACGACGGCTTTGGATTCGTGGTCGAGAGATATGTAGTGGACCAAGGGGACGCCGGTGCCGGTCGAGCCGGTGGTGTCGGATCCGCCCTGGGCGTCGACGAAGGAGGCGAGGAGGATGCTTGTGGACTCGGATTCCGTGTGGTGCGCAAAGGAGCGGATCTCGTGATGTGTGTCGTCTAACGCTTTGATCAGGGGCATGTCCTTGGAGATGCCCATGAATTTGAGAAAGTTGGACCCGTACGACGCGGAAGAGAAACGCATGTACCGCGTAATGTTTCGGAGCAGGTGGAATGCCGGGAAAACACCATCCACTGTGCCTGCCCGCCTCAAGGTGTCGATGGCTTCGGAGTCGGTGTATGCGCTCTTCTGATAGTACGATGACAAAACCAGAGACGTCTGGGAGCCGGTGTTGGCGATGCTGTAGAGACTCGGTGTGTTGACGTGGGAACGCGCTCTCCTGGACTTCATCGGCGATGGTGGCTTCTGATCGTTCATGTCCTTCTCTGACCGCGACTTGGGGATGCTGGGCTGGCCCATGCCGTCACGGCGAGTGTACCCCGGAGACTGGGGTCGATATCCGTCGACGGCGTGGAAGGAGTAGGTATCCGTCTGTGACACAATAGAGTCTCGACGTCGCTCGTGCACAGAGATGTAACTGGCTCGCGAAGAGCTGCGAGGCACAGGTGAGGGGTTCTCATAGGCCCGGCCTCTTGAGCTAGAGGCAGCAGTCGGGCCCATGGCCCGAGTCTGGGATGAACGGTTGGGCTGAGTAGAGGTACGTGTTGTTCCATCTCTTGTAGAAGTCTTTGCCGGCTGCTTGGGCTTCCGGGTGGGCTGCGAACTGCCGGTGCCGGTGCCGGTTCCGTCTCGATGGAAGAGGTTGGAGATGTTTGAGCTGGTACCCCTTTTCAAGGCTTGCCTGATGCCTCCCTTTTTCTCGGTTGTGGGCTTCTCTGATGGTTTGCTACTTGACAAGGACTCGCCTTTGGTTCTCTTGGGCTTGGCGGCTTCGGCGTGCGAGGAGACGGCACTCTCCTGACGTGCCCGCACTGGCAGGGGGCCTAGAGGCGCGCGCTGTCGCTTTTGGTTTGGCGCGTTTTCGGGACTCTGCTTGGGCGTTGGGATCTGAGAGACTCGACTGCCGGGTGAAGTCGAGGGAAAACCAGGACCAACCTTTGCTCGACGAGGGGTCGGGTTGGATGTCGCATCTGACCTCGGAATAGTGGCCGGGGCAGACGTCAGCGCCTTCTTGGGTGGTACGGGTGGCGGTTCGTCCTTTTCGTCATTTCGACCGTATCCATCCGACTCCTCGGTGTCGTCTAGTGATTCCACTTTTCCA